AAAACAACAAAATTTAACGAATTGATGACTAAAAATATTCTAAAGACACGCGTTCGTCCCCAGTTCGTCCCACAACGCTTCGAACCTAACGAACGTCCGCAGTTCGCACCTACCGTAACCCCCTCATGCTCCTCATTCCAATCCCACTATATCATGTAATAACAAGCAATCTAACCTCCTAATCTCACCAATCTCATCCCAAATCACCGTAAAAACGCAAAAATACCCGAAAACACATTCCATCAACCCATAAAACTCAAAAAAATTCCATTTTTCCAGCCATTTCGTAAAAATTTCCACCAATTTCCCGGGTAATTCACTGCAGGAAGCGGGCGGAAACCCTCAAAAATTCACTCCATCACCCAATAATAACAATAATAAAATCATGAAAGCCGTTTTATTCACATTCGCTGCAATTTGGGTGCGGAAAAAGAAACGGAGACGACAGTAGACACATTTTGAGATGGGTTGTTGCGTTCAATATTAACAAATATTAATAATAATAATATTAATAATAATAATAATAATAATAATAATAATAACAAATAATAATAACAAAAAATAATAATAATAAACATAACAAATAATAATAAATAATGAAACCAAAACAGAGCAGAACATCAATAGATCCACTATGAATATGGGCTTGCTGTTGGGAATATTCCTTCAAATGATCATCATAAAANGAACATCAATAGATCCACTATGAATATGGGCTTGCTGTTGGGAATATTCCTTCAAATGATCATCATAAAAAATCACAATCTCATGATCACTTGATCACATTTATAACCTCAACTATCTCAAATCATAATAAATAATATCCCAGATTTATACAGATCCCAATGATCACAATCTGCTGATCACTTTTAAATGATCACAATAAAATCTACTCATTATGAAGAATCTCGTTAAATACTTTGCATTGTATCTATCGTAAAGTTTATTATCAGCTCATAAAGAGCATGACACATTACTGTATAATAGAGTTACTATAATACAGTTACTTTATAACATTACTGCAATACAGTTACTGCATACAATAATACTGTATAATACTTTTTATGCCGTACGGAATGAAAACCATCCAAACCGAACAGAAAGCAGCATGGAAATGAAGCGAAATAATGGAAAGTTAAAGTAAAGTGAATTCGCGGAATTTCACTCGTTAGTGATAGCGGAAGCAATAATAATAATAATAATAATAATAATAAATAATAACAAATAATAAATAATAATAACAATGAATAATAATAATAATAAATAATAATAATAACAAAACACAATAGTGACAATTTAAAGATATTAAATAAACATAACAGCCAAATATTTTTAAGCGTACTAACAAATACAAGCAATTAGATCCATATGACGTTAATTAAGTATTAATAATAAATATTAAATGATATATATCAATAATAATA